GCCTTAAGTCACAATGGATTTTGACAATGCTGCTGTGTTGTCCATCCCATATATGGTACTTTTTGCATAATCATATGTGATATGTGATCCCCGTCAGATGTTCCTGCTGCGCGTTCTTCAGCTCTAACTTGCTTCGAAGCAGCGTAGGCTTGCTTGTTTGGAAAACGGGTCCTATCAGGCCTCCCACGGCCTGCCTTCTGTTCTCCATCATCAACAAAGCCCAGCTATACCTTGGGAATGTCACCGTCCAAGCTTCCTGAATTCGGAGTTCCCTATATTTCGAGCAGACGTCTTTTCGCCAGCCACGTTCGTAAGCTCGGTGTTTTGGCCCGGTCAGTAGTAGACTCGCCTATCGGATCTCTTGGCTGATTCTATTGGACAAAGACCCCGTTTCTTCCTCCAGTGAGGTAATGTCTTACTATCCAAGCTGTTCCTGGCTCCGTGGTTAGAAATGCGACTCCAAATGCGCCATTTCTCTCATTGTTTTGGTGTAACATGAGATTGGTGAACGATTGTCTGATTCGGATAGCATTTTCTTGTGCTCTCTAAAAAAAGACCGCAGCGGTAAACAGTGGTCAAAAGCAGCTTTGCAAATGACCTTCAGATCGCATATTCTTTTAGTTCTCTCCCAGTGATTAGAGGGAATTACTAGGTACTGGGATTGTTTTTGGCTAGTTAACGAGGTTAGAGTAACGGGTCTTTACTAGGCCACTGGATCACGTTTTTGTCTTAGCCGCTAATGAGCCGTGCAGCAAACGTTAAGGCCATTGGTGAGGATGTGGGGAGAGACAGCAGCAGCGGAGTAAATGGGTCATTTCAGATCCTATCATATCTTTTAGGTCACCAAGTTAGCATATCGGCGAGCTGGCTGAAATGGTAAAAAAAAATAAAAAATAAAAATGAAATCTCTCCCGCGGATGCCTGGAAAAGGGGTGGTGCTGCATGCGACTTTCTGTTTCTCCTGACCACATCCCACCCCCTCCCCCCGAAGGCGAACGTCGAGGTAAGGTCAGCTCGCCTAGGGCTCCACAGACCACTAGGGTTCCGTCTCAGGATTTATGACTGAGATAATGTGGTGTTTCGTGCAGCGACCTTTTATTATTAATGAGTAAATATAGAAATGTTTGTATTTAGGTTTTTTTTATTATACTAAGTATGAATGCTAAGGTGTTTGTTTAGTAGATGAGTGTTTGCAATTTATGTTCATGAATTTCTGATGTGCCATGCAGTATTTATTTTGTCCTGTAGTACAGTGGAATGACGGTGGTTATTGCCCCTTGCCTTTCAGAATAATGGTTCAAAGACAAAAAGGTATTTGAAATTGTAATTTGTAATAACATAATTGTAATGTATAAAATGTAATTGTAATTGGTAAATATATAATTGTAATTTGTAATTTGAGCTATTTTGCATTTATTGTGCTAACATTAGTGAAGCATGGACATGCCCAAAATAGCCTTCCACTGAAGGCGGAAAGTCACATTCTTATAAGCGGCGTGTTTGTGACTATTGTTAGACGCCAGTAGAAGGGAGCGATGTGCCTCTTCTTTCCGTATCATCTGGGGGTGTATGGGTTTGTTTTTAGGAGACCCAGAGCTTTTGACATTAAAATGAAAGCATGAAAACTCGAGATGCTTTTTCATTGAAACTGAGCGGCCATTGCTGCCATCCTCCGTCAGCCTTATCGGAGTTAGCTTAGCATGTTGCTGATGGGCAGCTAGCGCCTCGCCACTGGGGCGATCGCAGGAAGTGGCCGAGAGGGACTCTTCCTTTGTGCGATGCGGGGCGTATGCACTACTCCCGTCTGTAAACAGAAACGGGGTCAGCGTTGAGGTAAAACGGACACATGAGACAACCGGGAGCCGAAAACGCACCATGGCGAATCCGGCCTTGGATCGTTTTCTGCCTCTATGTGCAAAGTAGCCTTAATCTAACTCCTTTAATCCTGTATCTGTTGTTTGTCGAAGGCTGTATACAACGTTTGTTTGGGCCACCTTACCGAACAGTAACGTAATCACGACGGACGGCACACCTTGTCGTTCTGTGATTGTTGGCGTAGCTCGTTCTTTGGAAGTTGCAGCCTCTGGCCTCGGTGCCAGGCGAGGTGCTGCCTGGGGTTGCTTTGCAAGCGGCTCCCTCAGGATGGAAGTGTGCCGGCGCCAGGATGTGGGGTATCAGTTCCAGAAAAAGCATTTCCCGGCTGCTACCGCCTCCACCTCCATCTCCATCGCCTCCTCCTCCTCCTCCTCATGCTCCCACAGAATTTCATGCCCCCGCTTATCTCGTGCCAGGAGCTGGTAATGAGGTAACGGGCAGCGTGAAAACGATTGAATTACGTCATGCCGATGCGCGCCCCCCCCAAGCAGCCGACCCTTTCCAGCGAAGGCCTGTTTGTCTTCTTCCAGGGAATTTACATACAAATTGGTGCAAATGGAAACAAACGTGCCCTGAGACGACTGCTCTTGTAACTAATGCTAGATGTCAGGCCGCTCCCTTAGCGTTAAATCTGCCGTCACCTTTCAGTTCAGTTAGTTATCTGTGCTTTTTTTTATAGATAAATGTCAAAGGAAGGGAATTGCAAATGGAGGTTGAGGCGATAACGTCGGAAATAGAGTGGGAACGCGTGGCGAATGGCAGCGGCGCTGCCGAGAAGCACTTTAATTACGGATGATCTCCCACACCAAGCCTATCGCAGCGCCTCATTTGCTGTTCAGTGCAATTCATTGGCTCGATTCCAGCTTTATGTAGGGAGTCCAGCCTGTGGCATCAAAATAAGCTTATTGCCAATGGCAATGAGGGCGTTTCCTATGTCAGATGTGATGTTATGCATTATGCTGTAATAAAGGATGGATGAGTTTTCACTCTGCTGGTCCTATTCAGGGTCTTGGGGGGTGCAGAGCCTATTCCAGGGGAACAACCCAGGATGGGGCGCCAACCCATCGTAGGGCAGACTCACACACTGTTCACACCCACGAGCAATTTGGTGACTCCAATTAACCTCAGCATGTTTTTGGACTGTCGGGGGGGGAACGCCACAACGACACGGCGAGAGCATACAAACTCCATACCATGGCAGAGACTCGATCCCTTTTCCCAGAGGTGTGAGGTAACAACCCTAACCACTGTGCCACTCGTTTCATTTTTGACTTTCTGGTGAAAGATGTTCTTCTGCGACTCTAGTCAAGCAGGTATCTAAGTACCAGTTCTTCTAGGACAAATGAAATTAGTGACAAGTTCATTTTAATTTTCCGCTTCAGGTGTTTGCTGTTTTTACCTCGGCAGAACACAACGGACGTTTCCATAGGATACATAGAAATAATTAATTCCATTTTCTCATTTTCCTATTATCTTCCTGGCAGGAGATTCTGCCCATATGTTAAACTTCAGCATCTGTGCCTGGCTGTATTGTGTGCCGTGTGCTCGGGGCAATTTGACGAACGTTAAATTTCATTTGGCGTCTTTAATTTTCGCATATTGTGTGTCTGTCACCATGCTGTTTTATGTGTCCTTGTATCTTTCCCTATTAGAGTAATATTTTAGTAGCTGACATTGATAGCAGTGTTGTAAATGATTCTCTCTCTCTGCAGTTATTGGTTATGTTTCATATGAATGCTCTCTCCTGCCCTTTAATGTGGGCAGTGAGTCCTGATTATTTGCACTGACCTGTGAGCGTCACTGGAGACAAGAATCTTCCAGATAATAATATTTACGGCCTGGTGTCTCCCTGTGATATACAGTAGTATTTTAGTTTCTGGCACAGGAAGCTGTACGTCGCATGTACACATTATCTGCCTGCTTCTGCTCTCTGTCTGTTTATTGCATTGACCCGTGAGCGAGTTTGGACCCGAAACGACTGTCAGACGAAAGAACGTAAACACAAACGCACGGACTCGGCGTAGTCGCGCCTCGCTGTTTTTCTCTGCTGTCTCCCCGCGGGCCTTGTCTTGTTTTTCCGCGTACGGCTGCTGCGGCATCGTCCTCAGGGAACTCGCCAGATATTCAAAACGTGGGTGCCTGCCTACGCGATCTGGGCTTTTTGCTCTGGAGTCCGGCGAGCCTTGTGTAGCGTGATGGCGCCTCTCGCCCATGGGCCTGAAAATGGTTCTCCGCCCTGGGACCAGTCGTGCTCCTCCTGTTCAGTAAATAACAAGACGTGTATCTAGCTGCAGCCCTTCAGTGTTTATTGGTCATTTTTGAAGTTTCCCATAATCCCCTGTGAGTCGCACGGCGCTCCTCTTTGAGTCGATGAGCTCGCAGCGGCGTATGCTAATGGGCGTCGGAGATAAAGGGGAGTGGGTCCTAAGCGCTGCCTGCTTGGTGAGCCGCTCATCGGCCTCGTTCCCAAACTCACTCCCTCTCCGCCGATCCCTCCGGATCCTGCCTGGGTTAGAGCTCCAGATCCCCCTGGATCCTCCCTTATACGCAGCAAGCACAGACGTCGGATCCCATTCGATTCTCCCTGCCCTGTGAGGGGACTGCAAATCAGGAGAAGAATAAGATAAGATACAGACTAAAAAAAATACGGAAACGAAGGTTTAGGCACATTTCAAATTCATGTTTTTAGCCGTTTTGTTTCTCCAAGCATCCAAATATCAATATTTTCACAATGCAGGTGGCACAAAGGTACATGTTTTTTCTGATAATTATGAGTCTTTATAATTAAATGATCTATAATTAATATCTCCAGGTTACTACACAGAAGCCAATTAATCGTTACCTGTGTAGGATTCATTTGAAATGATTGGCTTATTTTTTTTTCATTATCTTTTTAGGGGGGTGCATGCACTACTTTCAAGCCAGTTATTGTCCTATAAGGCTTTAAAATAAAACTGAAAGTTGTTTTTTTCATTGCATAGTAATTTGGGGTATTTTCCTCAGCGTTGTGTGTCGTGCTGATCTGTGTGCGAACCCGTTGTCTCCTCGTGCTTCGCTGTGCGTGTTCCGAACCCGGCGCCGCCGCCGTCCCCGTCTGACCCGCCTCCCCTCTCGCTCCCGTGCAGCTTCCCGCCGACTTCACCAAGCTCCACCTGGCCGACGGCCTCCATCCGCAGGTGACCCCCGTCACCTCCAGTCACTCGGGATGTAGCATCACCAGCGATTCGGGAAGCAGCAGCCTGTCGGACATCTACCAGGTAGGTGGGGCCTCCCCCCCCCATGTGAAGCTGTGTACCGCCCTAGTGTAATGACTGTTCATGGCCACCAGGGGGCCCCCTCCAAACCTCCATGGTTCAAGTGGCAGTTCTGGACAACCATCCTAGCGCCATAAAACCTTCGCCAGGCTGGTTACTCGATCAGCGAACAAAAAATAAGCTGACTGTCTTTTAGATATTTACAGTGCTCACAGAAAGTTGATGCTTGCTTAATTCAGTAAATACAAAAAATATATCTCACATTAGAATGACCCAGTAGTTAAGCAAGCGTATCAGCACTGTGTACGTAGCATTTGGCACAGGTGACCCTTCTGGGCTGCTCCCAGTGCATTCTGGGAAGAGACTCCATGACCCCTGCAACAGATTAGCGTTTACTGGCCGTGGATGGAAATGAGAGTTGGCAGGATGGCCTCTCTGACAAACTTACCCAGAATAAGCAGTTTCAAGATGCTATATGTAAAGTTTATTATTAATACTCTATATATTTGTATCCAGGTACAGAACATAACAGAACCTGCACATTGGGACCACTTGATACATAAATATTAATGTCAATCACCTTAACATCCAAACCACTGTGCCGTGGTGCTAAGCACAGAGTGAGGAATGGAGACTGGAGTAAGTCATGGCTTCTTGGGCCTAATTGGCCGTAATTCCCTGTGACGAGTCCAACACCTCTCTGTTCCGGCACTCTGCCCCCAGTTTGGGCGTCCCCGGGTACACGGGCCATACCATCTGCTGACAACCCCCCCCCCCCTAGCCCATACCCTTACCCATCTTCACGAATTACACCAGGTCTTCTGGTTGGCTGCTCTGCTGGTGCCTGAGAGAATCACGCTTCCTTTTAATTCCAGGTCGTGTGCGCCTCGATGCAGGAGCGTGGGCGGACAGACGTCAGGTGGAATTACAGGCCGCCTGTCTCTCCGCAGTGCGGCCCTTTCCAGGGTTCAGTCTGGGTCATGCAGACCAATCTAACCGAAAATATAATACAGTGCCTCTATTGTGTTAATCCCTTATGGGTGCAAGACATTTTTGACCTGAAATGTATTATTTGCATGTATTTCTTTAGAGGATGCTTTTGACCGAAGTCGCGTAGAAGTGAGGAAAGCTTGGCGTCCTAGAGCAGGGCCCAGAAGCGTAACTGGAATTTTTTGGCGTCCTAAGTCACCTTGTCCCCCATCCAATTGTACGTATTCTGAGGCCCCTATAAAGAGTCGGGCCCCCCTACATCCGCCAGCGTGTCCATGCCCCTACTGTGCCCATGGCAGGACTAGTCAGCATCCCTAGAGACTGGGGTTAAGGTCCTTCCTCCAAGGCCTAGCAGCTATATGATTCGTCTGGCTGCCCCGGGATTCGAACCCATGATATAAGCACAAATCCCTATCTGACTGAGCCACACACACCATGAGAAGGAGCCATGCTGGATGTAGATGGTTGTTGGGAAATAACAGCCCTCCGACTGGTGAAGATAATCATTGAGCTGTCAGGCTCTGTACTTTAACACTGCCATTTAAGTCCCCTGTGCCATGAGAGTGCGGGAGGAAGCTTGCAGAAAGGCCCCGTCTCGCACGGGGAATTGTGCTTCTATCCGAATCGCATGTGACGTATCATAAGTGGCCAAATTGGATCAGGGTGTAGACCCCCTGGCCGGCAGGCTGCTAAATTGCCCTCTTTTAGCTTGGAGTCGGACATGGCTTTGTTGTAATTATATCACGCCGGTCTTGTCTGGTCTCGTCCACTCAGGATGCCTGTAGTCTCTTCCGCGCTAAGCGGCCTGGGCTGCCCGTCGTTGCTATGCCACAAAGTATCCGGGGGGAGGTTGGAGGCTACACAGGAAGTAAACTGTGGTCCTTGACTCTTCGTTATCCATCGATGCCGCAAAACTATGGCGTGACTGATGTCTGATGTCAGAGTTGGATGTTGTTCGGGGGGGGGTCAGTCTGGCTGTTTTGTCACGCCATGATGATTACTGCCAGCCTTGCAGCCAACAATCACCCCCCCAGGTCTCCTGAAATTTTCTGCACTGTCATTATGAACGTCGTGCATAATACCGATAAATTTAGCGCAGGGAGAAGCAGCTCACTGACACATTTCCTCATATCATACCTTTTCGGAAACGGTCGCGGAGATTAATTACCGGCACCTTCTACGGTTGCCAGGCAAAGATGGCACTAACCCGGCCCGTTCCCTCCGTTCCAGTCACCTGACGGCTTAACCAATCCCTTCCAAAATTAGCCCTGTTGAAAACACTGACTCTTCTCGGCCTCCTTGCAGCAAGCAGTGCTCATTGACATGCGGAATTCATACCCGGCTCGGCCCGATGGATTTCGTTCGGGGATTTACCTGTCGTTTTGTGCCGTTTTGATACCGCATTAATTCGTACGTCGCACAAGCGAAACGGGAAATGATTTTTCTTGAGGGTGAGTTGCGGCCTCACCGTCAAGAGCGTTACATGAGGTAATTTACTTTATGTTGGAGTTATAATATGACAGCTTTTTCCAATGGACCTCAAACAGCTTGGCTCGATGTTTTCCACATATTACCCTCCTTTATTACCCTCCCTTTTCTGCACCAATATTCCCCCCCCCCCCCCCACATAACCCACACTTACATCCGTCATACGCGGATTTTTCCAA